TTGTATGGAAACTGAATTTGCTCTGTAAATTTTCACCCAAATCACAATTAAAAAAAAAAAAAAGAATAAACTCCTGTTTGTTAAGGCCATCCCATCTGTGGTATATTTCGTGTTAGAGGGGCACTAGGTAACCAGAACAGTGCCTAAGGCATTTAAGTGCTAACCAGAAGGTTAGAAGTTCAAACCCACCAGCCACTCTGCAGAAGGAAGACTAGGCAATTTATTTCCATAAAGATTTACCGCCTCAGAAACTCAAAGAGGGTTGCTATGAATCGGATTGACTCAATGGCAGTGAGTTTGTTTTTTTGTTTTTGTTTTGTACTCTCTTAACAATCATCACACTTTTACCTATTTACATGTCTGTCCTTTCCTCTGCCTTATGATTTCACTGTGAAGGAGACCAATGCTTCATTTATCTTTGTAACTCCACGAAAATATGCTTGTCATATAGCAGGTACCAAATGTTTGCTGAATTAGCAAATCATAATCTTCAAGATGCTAGACCCAGGTTTCTATTCTACCCAAGTATTATTCCCTAAACATTGTTTTCTCTGCTACAAACAATGACTATATCCTAATATTTCCAGTTATTAAAATTCTATCCATTCTTCAAGGTGTAAATCAAAAGCCTCCTACTACTACACAGAGTGATAGTTTCTGCTTCTAAATATCTAGGGAAATTAAGTTAAAATACTCTCCTGGTACTGACGCAACCTGACTGGCATTGTAGTTCTTTTTAATACTATCATTTTTACTAAAGAGTAGACTCAGGGGCTATGCAGAATTTATGTATATCCCTTTCAGTTTCCATTACAATAACTAGTATACCAAACCAAACCCACTGTCGTCGAGTCGGATTCAACTTACAGCGACACTTCCTTGGGTTTCTGAGGCGGTATCACTACGGAAGTAGACTGCCCAACTTTACTTCCGAGGGGTGGCTAGTGGGTTTGAACTGCTAGCCTTCTGATTAGCAGTCAAATGTCTTAGGCAATATGCTACCAGAGCTCCTAATAACTAGTATGTTGTTGCTGTTATTGTAATATGCTGTCGAGTCAATTTTGACTGATAGCGACCCCTCTTCTTGGGTTTCCGAGACAGTATCACTACGGAAGTAGACTGCCGCATCTTCCTTCCGAGGAGCGGCTGGTGGGTTTGAACTGCCAGCCTTCTGATTAGCAGTCAAATGCCTTAGGCACTATGCCACCAGCGCTCCAATAACTAGTAGAGCAGATGTTAAATAAACACCTGTTTTATAATAATTTTTTTTTTGAAGTTCTATCCCACTAATTAGGAGCTCTGGTAGCATAGTAGCTAAGGCACTTGACTGCTAACCAGAAGGCTGGTAGTTCAAACCCACCAGCCACTCCTCGAAAGGAAGATTGGGCAGTCTACTTTCGCAGTGATACTGCCTCAGAAACCCAAGGAGGGGTCGCTATGAGTTGGGTCCAACTTGATGGCAAATAACAACAACAGCCCACTAATTTAGGAGTAACAAAGAATAAAGAATATCCTTACAGTTGTTTAAGATAACTAAACAGGTAATATGAAAAATTCCCAGTGTTCCACTGTTGCATTATTAGTAAAAGTATTAGGAAAATATAAAAATAAGAATGCAACAGTATCCAAACAATGAATCTTTGAAAGTTGCATACTTCATGTGGTCAAATGGTACCTGGTCAAAAAGTTGCTTGCCAGTTGTATTGGGCTGAATTGCAAATTCCAGCTCGGCATCCATTGTAGTTACTCTTACATTGATCTGTAACAGAAACAAAAAGGATTATCAGTAGAAAAGAGTATGTACTTATTAAAGTATTAGGCAGAAGGAAATTTTTAAAATCTGATTTATAAAATAAAGCAGTATAATATGCAAATAATTAAAAACCAAAAACCAAACACATGGCAGTGGAGTTAGATCCAACTCATAGCGACCCCTCCTTGGGCTTCCAAGGCAGTGTCACTACAGAAGTAAATTGTCCAACCTTCCTTCCGAGGAGTGGCTGGTGGGTTGGAACCACCAGCCTTCTAGTTAGCAGTCAAATGCCTTAGGCACTATGCCACCAGAGCTCCCACAAATAAAGCAACTCTAAAATTGTATCTGATTTTTTTAAGATGATAAAGTCTCAACCACAAAAATCTTACATCTATTTGAAAAAACAAAAAGCCTATGAAGTTCTGTCTTTAAAAATATCTACTGACTATTTAACATATTCTAGATGCTAGGTCATAAATGTTCCATATTCTCATTCAGCCCTTGAAACAATACTAGTAGATATGTTCATTTCTATAGACTCAAAACAGTTTCCATTAGTTGTCAAAGGACACAGGAATATCAAATGGCAAAGCAGGTATTTAAACTGATCTCTAACTCCAAACTCTTTGAATTCCATTCACTATGCCATATTTCTTTCAACACAAAAGTCAGATATTATATTTTATTCATACTGCAATATATTCTTCACTTTATAAAAAACATTCAACTATAGGCCATTATTTGCTATTATTTGCTTACCTGTTTTTAACAATTTTATCACGTAAACAACCTTTCTGGTTGGCTATCTCACCAAAGACTTAACATATCTGTCAGTGATTGAATTCTGTCACCCATAAATGTGTCAACTTGGCTAGGCCATGATTCTCAGCAGTTTGGTAGTTAGGTAATTATGTAATTTGGCAGTTATGTAGTGATGTAATCACCCCCCATGATGTGATCTGATGTGATCAGCCAATTAGTTATAAGGAGATTATAGTGAGATGTAACACCCTTATTCAGGTCACAGCTCTGATACCATCCAATGTAAGGGGATTTTCCCTGGAGCATAGCCTGTATCACCTTTTATCTTACAAGAGCTAAAAGGAGAAAGAAGAAGCTATTGGAGAGCAGAGAGACCTATTACCACCAAGAAAGAGCTGGAAGCAGGTTGCATCCTCTGGACCAAGGCTCCCTGCACAGAACTTGCCAGACCCAGGGGAAGACTGATGCCAAGACACATGAAGAGTACCCAGGAGCAGAAGCCAGAAGAGACAAAAACCTTCCTCTGGAGCCAACAGATAGGAAGCCTTACCCTAGAGACAACACCCTGAATTTAGACTTCTAGCCTCCTGTGAGAAAATAAATTTGTTTTTTAAAGCCAACTCAGTTTAGGACTGGGAGGCAGCCGAGCCCGAGGGTGTATGACTGCAACTCAGTGGACCAGGATGATGACGCTCACCAAAGACAAGGGGGCAGAGTTGCCATCTCAGTGGGCCGCGATGGCAGAGCTTAAGCCCAGAACCTGGGACCTCCACTAAGAATCTAGAGATAGCAGCCAACACGCAGAGTCTGGAGGTATCAAAGAACAGATGATTATTTTCAAGCCTTGAGACCTAATGTAAATTGTTCTGCTGGGTTTTGGACATACTTGGTGTCTGTTATCCCTTCTATCCCTCCTACTTTTCCCACTGTAATGAAAATGTCTACCTTATACCTGTTCTACTACTATCCTTTAAAAACAGATAACTTGTCATTTGATTTCACAGGTTTACAGATGAAGACGAATTTTGCCCTAAGATAGAATATACTTCAAATCTCACCTGTATTTGATTTAGATGATTCAGAAGATTAGATTTTGGACTTGCAGTTGATTTAAGACTTTTGGGATGATGTGGTGGGGTAAATGTGTTTTGCATGTGTCAAGGACATGAATTTTGGGGAGCTAAAGAGTGGTATTTTCAATTGCCTTATATGCATGTGAAAGTTGGACAATGAATGAGAAAGACTGAAGAAGAGTTGACACTTTTGAAATGTGTTGGTGAAGAATACTGAAAATACCACGGACTGCCAGAAGAATGAACAAATCTGTCCTGGAAGAAGTATAGTCAAAATGCTCCTTGGAAACAAGAATGGCCAGACTTCATCTCACCTACTGTGGTCATGTTGTCAGAAGGGACCATTCCCTGGAAAAAGATATCATGCTTGGTAAAGTAGAGGGTCAGAGAAAAAGGGGAAGACCATCAACGAGATGGACTGACACAGTGGCTACAATGATGGGCTCAGGTATAGCAAGTATTGTGACACTGGCAGAGGACCAGGCAGTGCTTCATTCTGTTGTACATAGGGTTGTTATGCCAATTTGACAGCACCTAACAACAACAACAGAATGGAATGTTATAGACCATATTGTGTTCCAAAAAAATGTGTTGTAATTCTTAACCCCTACATCTGTGGTTATAATCTCATTTGGGAATGGGTTATCTTTGTTACTAATGATACAGGATTAGTGTAGGGTATATCTTAAGTCAATCTCTTTTGAGATATAAAAGAGATTAAATAAGGAAGCAAAAGAAGTAGAGAGGAGGGAAGAAAGATGCCACATGAAGATTACCAAGGAACAAAAGCTCAAAGTGACAAGGACCTTCCTCCAGAGCTGACAAAGAGAAAAAGCCTTGCCCTAGAGACAGGACCCTGGATTTGATCTAACCTCCAAACTAGGAGAAAATAAATTTTGTTTGTTAAAGCCACCCATTTGTGGTATTCCTGCTATAGCAGCACTAGATAACTAAGACATGTACTAACTACAAACCTGGGCAAAATGGATGTGTAAAATATGGAGACCAAATTAAATTTCTCTAAGTTTTGTCAGACAGGGGCCAACTGTGCAACAGACCATCAGTTGCTCACATGCAAGTTTAAGCTGAAGCTGAAGAAAATTAAAACAAGTTCATGAGCACCAAAATACTACCTAAAGTACATCCCTGAATGTATACCTGAATTTAGAGACCATGTGAAGATAAGATTTGACACACTGAAACACTAATGACCAATGACAAGTTGTGGGATGACATCAAGGACAACAAACATGAAGAAAACCAAAAGTCAATAAAAGATAGGAAAGGAAGAAAAGACCAAAATGCATGTCAGAAGAGACTCTGAAACCTGCTCTTGAATGGACAGTACCTAAAGCAAATGGAAGAAATGATGAAGTAAAAGAGCTGAACAAAAGATTTCCAAGGGCAGCTCAAGAAGACAAAGCATTATAAGAAATGTGCAAAGACCTACAGTTAGAAGTGGGGAAAAAAATGGAGAAAAAAATTCAAGCCTTGGGTAGCAATATGGGCAAAATAGTGAATAATGCAGGAAGCACCAAAAGAAGATGGAAGGAATACAATGTACTCACTGTACCAAAAGGAATTGGTGGACATTCAACCATTTCAGAAGGTAGCATATGATCAAGAACCGATGGTACTGAAAGAAGAAGTCTAAGCTACATTGAAGGAATTGGTGAAAAACAAGGCCCCACTTAATATGTGAGGAAATCAAGAATTGGAGAGAATAATTTAACAAACTTAGATTAAGTGGCAGAACCAGAATAACTAAGACAGTTTGACCCCAGAACACATGACTACAGTGTTACCTGTATACATCTTTTTCACTGGCCCACCTATCTGTGTTCGAGCCACACTAATCTAAAACAAAATTTAGAGTTTTTAGTACAATTAATCTACTGTATTTTTTCCTTACCATAATACTTAGTATTATATTGTTGCTATGTGTCATCGAGTCAATTCCAACTCATTGCCACCCTATAAGACAGAGTAAAACCATTCCATAGGGTTTCCTAGGCTACAATCTTTATGGGAGATCATCAGGTCTTTTCTCTTTAGGAGCTGCTGCTGGTGGGTTCAAACTGCTGACCTTTTAGTTAGCAGCCAAGTACTTAACCAGGGCTCCTTAAAAAGAACTTAAAGCTACTAACATTAAGTGAGTACTATCAAAAGTAATAAATACACTTACTGGTTTCGGCATTTTGCTCCTCTTTTTGTTGCCTTCTTTAAAAAACTCTTCACTTTTATGGATTCTGTTGTCACCTTCTATTAAAGAAAAAGAAAGTATAATTGGTCTGATTTTTTAATATAAGGATTTTAATTATAATTTGTGTAGCTCAACTGCACGATTTGCATTGAATAAGATTAAACCATTCTGAAATGTAAGTTTAAAGTAATATGAACTCTTACACTACTTTTCAAGGTACCATAACTTTCTTTAAAAAGATTAAAATCTATGATTTAAAATACCATACATCTCAAATAGCACAGTGTAAAGCATACCAATTACCTACTAAAAGGTTTAATGTAATTACAGACAACATGGAGCAAGAACACGATTGCTAAAGGTTCAAACGCTCTCTCTCTCAATATGATCAGGTTCATCCTTGTATGCAGATTGATACAGAGAAGAACAGTATTTGAGGACAAATAGATTCAGATTCTAAAGAGCTCACATTCACCTCAGAAACACATTTTAACTTTTTTTCTTGTACTGCCAAAGACAAAAGTAAATTTTCATTAATGAAAACTATAAAAGGATAAACAATTTTTAAAATAATAATATTCTTTCTTCTTCAAAGTCTGAAAATTCAAATAAAAGAGTAGACTATTCACCTAAAGTCTATAAAACAGTCTTTTCTCTATAAACTAGCACACTGCTTGCTACTTACCTGCATGCTCTGGTAGCATAGTGGCTAAGGCACTTGACTGCTAACCAGAAGGCTGGCGGTTCAAACCCACCAGCCACTCCTCGGAAGGAAGGTTGGGCAATCCTACTTCCGTAGTGATACTGCCTCGGAAACCCAAGGAGGGGTCACTATGAGTCAGGGCTGACTCAACGGCACATAACAACAACAACAACAAAGTGGCCTGCAATGATAAATTTAGAATTGTCCTCAAGACCAATGTTAAATTCTATTTTCTCCCCCAAGACAGCAGAAGTAAATCTTAGTCCAAGAGAATTACCAAGCTGTCTTACGCTAAATATTCTTAGTAAAAAGCACCTAACCAAATTGTGGGATTGTGGGATTTTCCTTACATACCAATCAAAACATCCAAAATTCTTAATCAGTATTAGTTGTCCATAAGAAATGATTAACATTCCAATTTGAAAGTTATCGTGCAAAGTACTATATTAGATAGTTCCTTGAGAAATCAATTATCTAGGATTATCTCTTACAAGAAACTTTATTCATTACAGTCCAAAATAACCAAAGCCGTTGCCATCAAGTTCACTCTGACTCACAGCAGCCCTATGGGACAGGAACTGCCCCCAAAGGGTTTCCAAGGCTATAAATCTTTACCAAAGCAGACTTCCCTATCCTCCTTTTATGGAGCAGCAGTTGATGGGCTTGACCAATCTTTTGGTTAGAAGCCAAATACTTTAACCACTGAGATACCAGAGCTCCTTATTCATCACCGTAGGATCAAATAAATGAATATACAATTAATTTTGTGTTTTACAAATGCATTACCATAAAGAAAATTAAAGTCCTGATGCATACAACATGGATGAACCTTGAAAACATGCTAGGTGAAATAAGTCAAAAGGACAAATATTCTATAATCCCACTTATATAAAATTCTAAAATAGGCAAATGTACAGATACTAAAGTCTATTAGTGGTTTACCAGGGGTGCAACTGAGGATGAGAGAGGTAATCATTACTTGGGGGACACTGAGCTTCTGGTAAAGGTGATGGAAAAATGTGGAAACAGGTAGTGGTGTTGGTTGCATGTGAAAGTGATGAAAATGATTAATGTCACTTAATTGTACATGTAAGAAGCGCTGGTGGCCCAGTACCTAAGGCATTTGACTGCTAACCAGATGAGAGGTTCAAACCCACCAGTGCAAGGAAGACGGAACAATCTACTTCAGTACAGATTTACCTCCTCATAAACTCAATGGGGGTTGCTAGAGTTGGCAACTTGATGGAAATGGGTTTTGTTTTAATTGTACATGTAAAAAACCATTGAAATGCCTAATTTGTTATTTTATAGACAGACAGATATATATACACACACACACACACACACATACATATATATGTATAAAAAAACCAAACTCACTGCCACAGAGTCAGTTCCAACTCAAAACAACCCCCTCTGGGTTTCTAAGGTGGTAAATCTTTACTAAAGTAGATTGCCCAGTCTTCCTTCCTCGGAGTGGCTGGTGGGTTTGAATCACCAACCTTCTGGTTAGCAGTCAAATTAAATACCTTAGGCACTATGCCACCAGAGCCCCTTAGATATATATACATACATTTATGTATACACGTACACACACACACACACACACGTGTTGTGTGCCATGGAGTCAGCCCCGACTCATAGCGACCCCTCCTTGGGTTGCCGAGGCAGTATCACTACGGAAGTGGACTGCCCAACCTTCCTTCTGAGGAGTGGCTGGTGGGTTTGAACTGCCAACCTTCTGGTTAGCAGTCAAGTGCCTTAGGCACTATGCTACCAGAGCTCATACCACAATAAGAAAAAAAATTAAGTGGATTATGGTAAAGATTTCACAACTCAATGGATTTACTAAAAATATTAAACTATACATTTAATATGGTGAATTTGCATGGAATATAAATTATACCTCAATACCTGTGAGTCAGAATCAACTCAGTAGCAAGAGCAAAGTTACTTAAAATTTTAAAACTACATCAATTACTTTTTAAGATGTAATTAATAAGCATTCTTCAAAATGAAATAAAATGATGCACTGAAATAAGGTTATTTCCCCTAAATTTTACTCAATCACATGTCAATAAACTTCTCTATAGAGGGAACTGCCTCCTTATCTTTTTTCATCTGACACACTGGGGTATGAAATTCAGTTGGGAGATATAAAACACCTCATTTCTTTTATCATTTCCTAGCCTATTCTCTGTCTACCCACATTATCCTTTCATGAATCTAAATATACTTAATTTACTTATTTAATATAAGTAGATTTAAATACTTATATTCCAGAACACTTAAATATGCTCATGAGGAAGTGGTACACAGACCAAGAGGCTGTCATGTGAACAGAACAAGAGGGTACAGAATGGTTTAAAATTAGGAAAGGCATGAGGCAGGGTTGTATCCTTTCACCATACTGACTCAATCTGCATGTTAAGCAAAGGCGCTCTGGTGGCATAGTGGCTAAGGCATCTGACTGCTAACCAGAAGGCTGACATTCAAACTCACCAGCCACTCCTTGCAAGGAAGATTGGGCGATCTACTTCTGCAGAGATACCGCTTCGGAAACCCAAGAAAGGGTCGCTATGAGTCAGATTCGACTCAATGGCACTGAGTTTAGTAAGTGATGCTGAGCAAATTATCCAAGAAGCTGGACTATATGAAGAAGAACAGAGCATCAGAACTAGAGGGAGACTCATTGACAACCTGCAATATGCAGATGACACAACCTTGCTTGCTGAAAGTGAAGAAATCTTGAAGCATTTACTGATAAAGATTAAGACTACGGACTTCAGTATGGATTACATTCAATATAAAGAAAACAAAAACACTTACAATGCGACCAATAAACAACATCATCATAAATGGGGAACAGACTGAAGTTGTCCAGGATTTCATTTTATTTGGATCCACCATCAACACCCACTTCTAGACCAGCAACCTAGAAGTCAAACGTTGTATTGCACTGAGCAAATCTGCTGCAAAAGATCTCCTTAAAGTGTTAAAAGGGCAGAGATATCACTTTGAAGACTAAGGTGCACTTGACTCAAACATGGTATTCTCAATAGCTTCATAAGCATATGAAAGCTGGACAATGAATAAGGAAAACCAAAGAAAAATGGATGCATTTGAATTGTGATGCTGGTGAAAAATACTGAAAATACCAAGCACTGCCAGAAGAATAAACAAATCTGTCTTGGAAGAAGTACAGCCAGAATGCTCCTTAGAAGCAAAAACAGATAGATTTCATCTGACCATCTGTACTTTGGTCATGTTGTCAGAAAGTACCAGGCCCTGGAGGAGGATATCTTGCTCAATTAAAAAAAAAAAAAAAAAAAAAAAAAAAAAAACCAGATCCGACTCATAGCAACTTCTCCTTGGGTTTCCAAGGCGCTATCACTACAGAAGTAGAATGCCCAACCTTCCTTCAGAGGAGTGGCTAGTGGGTTTGAACAGCCAGCCTTCTGGTTAGCAGTCAAATGCCTTAGGCACTATGCCTCCAGAGAGGATCAGGGGAAAAAAAAAAAAAGGAAAACGCTCAACAAAATGGATTGACATGGATTGACACAGTGGCTTCAACAATAGGCTCAAGCAAAGTAGTCTGTGAGAATAATGCCAGGCGGGGGGGTGGGGAAGGTGGGGGGAGGGAGGATTTCATTCTGTTGTACATAGGGTCACTACAGGTTGTAACCTACTCAAAAGCACCACCACCACATCTGAAGTTAGGAACCACTCCCTTTTCATTCCTAATGCAGTTCATTGCTGTCTTCAGATTTTCTCGGTTAATCTTCCAAAAGTCCATTTTCTTTGATCTATTTCTTTTCATTTCTGTCCTTATCCTTTTTATTTCACTTGTCACTCCTTACTGTGGCTTTGCAATGTGGTCATTTTCTAATCCCTAGAACTAAAAGTCTACCTAAGTAATTTCCAATCTTTCTTCATTTCTAATACATGCATTAAACCATAAACTAAATGTGCCCAAACATAAGGCAACTCTACATATAAAAGTGATCTATTTTGTCAGAGAAAATATTTTAAAATAATTTTCAATTATTTGAATATGTAAATAGTCAAGTGTATATAATATTTATTAAGCATATCTAAACGCTAAAAACAGTCTATAAAATAGTGATTCACAAATATTATTGGCATTTATCTCTCATTTCATAGAACACTTTTATTCAAATTTCTTATACATTAGATACGAATGTCTAAATCAACACTTAGGCCACTTTTTGAATTATACCAGTTTTCTAGATTACTTGAATCAATTCTTGACTCATATTATATTATCACTAACAATTTTATCCAA